TTGAGTGTGAATCACTATTGAATTCATATTTTTAAAAACAAAATGTGACTGTCTCACATAATATCAAACATCCACACCAACACACATTTTACCAACATGTTATCACAAGCTAATCAAGGACACAATCCAACCTTTACTTCTGGAATAATCATTTTGAGAATATCAACTGGAAATTGATTTGGACATAATAACAAATTCTGTGTCACAAATAAAGTTAGTGAAGTGTACTTTAAAATTATACATATCATTTATCCAATTAACCAGTTTCTCAAGAAATACAGAGCTGATCTCTCTGAATTTTGTACTTTTTGTGGAATGCATGTAGAGACTGTTTTGCATCATTTTTTTTAATAAAATTCAATTTTCAATTTTGTTGTATGTTCAATTCTTCTGGATTGATGTTGAATATTTATTTACTATGTTGAGTGGATCTAAAATTAATTTATTTATGCTAAATCGTCTAATATTATTAGGTAAGTTTTACATACACAAATGTAAATGGTCAGAAAGGAAGCCCAGTATCTCCCACTTCAAAGTTGATTTGAGGATTATTTTGAAACTCTTCAAGGTGTTTTTAGAACACTAGCTTTTTTACTGTAGTCGCAATGTTATTGAGTCACGTTTACCATGAAAGTAAACGTAAACACAGTAAATCTTAAACACAAAAATGGATTCCAGGGCTCTACGGATACTTTTCTTTTTAGGAGCGCTTGTGCTCCTAATTTAAACAATTTAGGAGCACGGTCAAAAATTTAGGAGCACCTTCTAATCAGCAATCAAAAATTCTGATAAAAAAATTAACCTTCCCATTACGAGGTGATATTTGACTCCTTAAAGTGATTTATAGGGAATTTTGTTTTTACCTTTGTAATGGCATTTTTCTAACTTTGTTAAAAGTATGTCATCTTTTATGTCAAAATAAAAAATATATATTTATAAGCTTTTTAAAATTTCTAATTAAAACAACAGAATAAAAACAAGTAGAATAAGAAGTAGAATAAGAATAAGTTACCAATCAAATGAAATCAGTATTTAAGAAATAAATTTGGCTATACATGAGTATTTTCAGACGTTTAATGAGGCTCAGAGGTCGCCTGAGTGCAATTAAATTAATAAATTCATGTTGAGGTTAATGTTTTAAATATAACATTTTGACTGTTGTATTAAATCAATATCACATTTGCAAACTCCCTTAATAATCAAGCTGTCACTCATCTTAGTTTATCCCGATATCACAAAACTCCATTATAATCGGCGAAGCTCTCTACACTGCACAATGAATCTCTTATTTACACCCCGTCTACACTGTGTTTGTTATAATGAGAGGATACGTCTGTGATACATTACTCAACGCTGCAGAAACACGTACGTATATTAGAACCTCTGAAGCTCCCTCAGCGCAAACACAAATATGATGATCGGGTCAGTCGCACAGGTGCTCCTAAATATTATTTCATAGTCGCACGCAGTAGCTTCCAGTCGCAAATGCGACTGAAATGGTCGCACTGTAGAGCCCTGGATTCACACTCATTTTTTTAAATGTTTATTGTATAATTTTAATAACAGAATTACAATACAGAACATAACAGAAGTGTGCTATTTTGCAAATGTCAGATGAGTGAATAAATGTATAAAAATGTATACTTTTAGTAAGTCTCGCCAGTCTTTCTCAGTCACAGTCTGTCAGGAAAAAGAAAAGAAAAAAGAACATTAGTATATCATAATTAGTATCACACATTAGATATTATTTCAAGACAAGCACATAATCAGCACTGCACACATTCTTTTCTATCACCCAAGACACACGTGCCTTTTTAAATTAGGAACATTTTAGCTACTTTAATAACAGGCTATTTTTAGACATAATACTTAATAATATACATAATATTAATGAAAACATTAGTGTAATTGTACCTCAGTTTTGAAGTCACAGTTTCATACATTTTTGGTACAGCAGGGGGAGAAAACATACAATTGCTTTTTTTTTTGTAATAAACAGTGGTTTACTGAACAATTTAGTAACAATTATGGCTCTGCCTTTAAATAAACTCAATTATACTTACAAATTCAGATTGTGAGTGAGAAAGACTGGCGAGACTTACTAAAAGTATACATTTTTGTACATTTATTCACTCATCTGACATTTGCAAAATAGCACACTTCTGTTATGTTCTGTTGTAATTCTGTTATTAAAATTCTACTATAAACATTTTACAAAATGAGTGTGAATCCATTGTAGTGTTTAAGATTTACTGTGTAATAGGTATTTAAAAAAAATATATAGGTGTGGTGTAAATATGGTTAAATAATGGCATTTGGTTTAGCAGCCACATGTGGGCCACATAAGGGCTGTCAGCCCTTTACAGAACTCAGCCATATAAGAATACCATATAAGGCTTAAACTCGCGCTAGACTTAAGTCAGTCATAATGTTCTTTCACAGTGTAAGTTTTTTGCTCACATTCTCTGTATTCGCTGTTTAAAATAGCCGTGTAATAGTGATGCGCGGATGGCGGTTATATCCGCGGGTATTTTTGGCAGATCAAATTTGTTATAGTCACTTAATTTTTTAACGGGATAAAGTTAGCTTCAGTTTCCATAACCGCTTGTGTTGTTTAGGGACCGTCTGCAAATTCCAGCCACGGTGTAAAACAATGTTTTAGTAAAAGCTAGTGGCCAAACTGACTTGCTGAATATAAGCTCTACAACATTTTGGAATGTGAAAAATAAAAAAGAAGTAAAAAAATAAATTTACAAGAGCAAGTATATTTGCACATGTTTATTTATAAGGCAAAATAACTGAAATAATAAGAGCACAAGTATAGATCTGGAACGTCTTTAAGTCTGTCTAAATATCATTCTCTAGATGCGTCGATGTGAAACGAAAGTCAGAGAGAGAAGACCCGGTACAGCTGAATCACTCACGCTGTTTTCATCTGATGGTTTGTGTGGATTTATTTACTCATCTAACCTACACGCTATATTGAATAAAGGTTTTGCAGTAATTTCCCTAATTTTAAAGTCGAAAGCTGCGGGAATGAGTAATGCGATGTATGCGCAATCCCGCAACGAAATTCAGTATCTGATTAAACATAATTCTATTATACAGAGAATTGTGAAATAGATTTTCATGACTTTTCAAAAAACTTTTTGAGTTTATTTATTTTTACAAAACTTTCTAGGCCTGGAAATTGCTGTTCAATGACTTTTCCAGGTTTTTTATGACCGTACGAACCCGAATGTGATGATCGGGTGCGGGTCGGGTGCGGTTATCTAAATCAGACAAAAATACAGGTGCGGGCGGTTGGCGGGTGGATCATTTATTTGAAGCTGCGGATTCGGGTGACGTTTTAGCTCATCCGCGCATCACTACCGTGTAAGGTACAGGGAATAAAAAAAATGAATCCATTACGTCATCCGTGAACATCCTCCTTCATAGCGTTATCATGCTTTGCCTTTATTGTTTTGAAAATGTGACCTCTAGTGGCGAAAACTTGCATATTGTACCTTTAATGCCTTTTTGATTTATTGTTGATTTTGGTAAATCTGCTTTTCCACAAAGAAATTCATGTTCAGTGAAGCTCCTCCCACTGCGATCACATCATCAGTGAAGCTCCTCCCACAACAATCACATCGTCATCATCATCAGTGAAGCTCCTCCCTCAACAATCACATCATCATCATCAGTGAAGCTCCTCCCTCAACAATCACATCATCATCACCAGTGAAGGTCCTCCCTCAACAATCACATCATCATCATCAGTGAAGCTCCTCCCTCAACAATCACATCATCATCATCAGTGAAGCTCCTCCCTCAACA